ATTCACCTTTTTCTAACGATAGGTATGCTCTATCATTTGTCTCTTTTTGATAGCGCAACGTGTCATAATAAATAACTGTACGTAGATATAATACTACCTGCGCCACTTTAAAATACAATAATGTTGGTGTGTAACCTGTCTATCTTTTAATATGTCTTTGGGGTGTACGCTGTGTACCCGGTTTAAAGGGGTGTGCGGCGCGCCCGTCTGCGGACTCGTTGCGTCTCATCCGTTGTCCTAACAGTGTTTGTGGCACTAGGTGATTGTCTAGCGTTAGTGACACTAGCACTATATAACACTAACTTAGTGTATGACTGGCCGGCAACATTACGACCGTGAGAATCTAGCGAAACTGGGGGTTCCATTAGAATGTTACGGGGAGTCCGGAGGTTTTCCGTAACGTTCGGAGTCGGAGCGTAGTTGGTTGCGTTTGCCACTAGCTGGTCGTGATGTGTCTGTGTCTATGGCCCACAGTATCCGCTACTGTCAGGTGGATTGTGTGCTCGTTTGTCACCATTATTATATAAATAAAATACGCATAACTGTTTTAACAACTAATGTGCTTATCTATTTTATTCACTACTCATATCTAAGAATTAACGACTCCTGATAAAGTGACTGCTGAATAGTTTCGTTTCTATTTACTTTGGGGTCAAAGATTAAGTGAATGTCTCCATCTACTTCGATTTATACGAGCGAAAATATTAACTTTTAATGAAAAGCCGACTTCAAAGACGTTCTTTTAATAAAATAGATTATAATCAAAAATAAAAGCAAACTTTTATTTTTGATTATAATCTATTTTTTACCCTTTTGACTAGACTAAGGATTTCTTATATCTTATTTTATACGCGGTAGAGCCATGCTGCAGCTATATTAGTAGTATAGTTGTAGCACGAATTGGTCGGCTCGACCGGAGAAGGACCACGCTCTCACAGAATACCAGCGTAAAATAGCAGCTTAACACTGCTGCTATTTTACGCTGGTAGTAAAAGGCCGGCAACGCATCTGCTATTCTCTCCCTGATATTGCAGCTCTTCATGGGCGGCGGTAGTCACTTACCATCAAGTGAGCCACATGCTCGTCTGCCCCCTCTCCTATGAAAGAAAACTGCTTTGTTTCGTATGGTGTGTAGAGAACCGGAGACCCATTTTGCTGGAAAAGAGGCATTCCATCTTAGCCCTCACGGATGACAACGCATCTGCGATTTGATTTGTAATCAAGGATAGATGTAGATATCTATGGGTCACGGCAACCACTTACCATCAGGTGGACTGTGTGCTCGTTTGTCACCCTATCTTTAAAAAAAATCACAATGTCGTATCGTCTAAATTATTATATTAAAAAATCATTCCCTGTTTTGCCACCCTTAGGGTTGGATTTTTTTTATAAATGTGAAATGCAGATTTGGAACTTCCCTGAAGAGTAACTTACGTATTATTAACTACTTGTGCCCGAGACTTCGTTCGCATAGAATAACTTAGTAATTTATTATTATACGTCCCTACTTTTGCGCAGAAATTTAATTATTTTTATAGAATAAAAGTCACTCCTTGTAATATCACCTATCTGCCAGTGAAAATCCCGTCAAAATCGGTCCAGTCTTTTCGGAGATTAGCCGAAAAAATTCATAACCAAACAAAAATTTAAAAAATTGTGTTTTGTTATAAATGTCGTAGGATAATTTGATAAACCGAATTTTCCACAAAAATCTAGGGATATTGCGAAAACACAAATAATTAGACATTTCTCAATCTTACTGAAGAAAGTTATTTTGCGAAAACTGGTTGCTTTAGAAACTTTGAACATACTTAACTCTGATTGGCTTGATTTGAAATGTCATAGCCATTGCCTAATTATCCGTGTTTTCGCGATATCCCTAGATTTTTGCGTTTATCAAATTATCTTTCGACATAAATACCGTATAAATACTTTCATATGCAATATTAGTAAAAAGCTGACATTGGCATTATAAACAGACACTTCAATTTTATTTATTTGTACAGATTAAAAAGGAATTTACCTATGACGAAGATACCGCGAAACACTACTTGTATATATAGCGGTCAGTGCGTAACACAGAAACGAATTATAAGTCACCTCATCCTTTCTTAATGTCGGCTAGTAAAGTATAAAATCCATTTGTTACGCGTTTGATTAGGAACATGAAGGCCTCCGTGTAAAGATATTTAAGAGGCGATAAGTGATATCAGCCGAATGAAACCGAATGCGTTCGCTACTGGCGAGTTAAAATTGATAACAAAAATGTAGGTCTTGTAATTATTCTTACAATTATTTTATTGACTTTCGTATTCATTCAATTTTATCTATGATGTGATTATATTTTCATATTTCTATACAAACTCTAGAATCATAGAGTGAAATTATGTAACGCAAAAACTATACAAATATAATATACAAAGTCTTAGGTAAGTTGCTATACATTATAAAGTCAATTGATGGCTCCGTGGCGTAGTGGCTTAGCAATCAGTTGTTGCGCTGGGGGCCGCGGGTTCGAATCCCGCACGGAACAAGTATTTGTATGGCCTACAAATAATTGTTCCGGGTCTGGATGTTTGTCCTTGTGCAATTTATGTTTGTAAACTGCCTCCACGACACAGGAGAAAATCCTAGTGTGGGGGTAACGTTTTTTTAAAAAAGAAAAGAAAGAAAGAATTGGTAACTCATGGACTTGTATCATAGTACGCGAGCGACCCTGGTTCGATCTCGACGGCACAAATGAAATTGTCAATTGCAAATTTAAGAACTGATTTATCACGTGTTCGACGGTGAAGGAAATTATCGTGAGGTAACCTATATGTCTGAGAAGTTAAAAAAATAATTCGAAGACCACATGTAAAGTCCGAAGTTAATAGGGCAGCGCGGCAGACTTTTCCTTACTCTAAACCCCCTCTTATAAATGGGAGGAGACCTGTATCCAGGAGTGGGACGTATAATATAGGCTGTATCTTGACTATTTTACTTAATAATACTGTCAAAATATTTTCATAGAGAATGAAGGATTTTTCTTTTTGTGCAAGAGATGAATTGGTTCAATTGATTTGGCTCCACGGTATAGGTAATGGTTCTATAGTATCGTTTTTCTTTATTTGCCTCTAAAAGCCTACAGTATTTGCCTTTCTACCGCTATTAAATAGAAAAATCCGTCCTAATAGAAAGCTTTGACCGTTCCTATAATTGAAATATATAAGGGAGGATGTAATAAATTACTAGGCTGAATGTTGTCTCATAATATATAGGGTAAAGGTGCTTAATATGAGATAGATTCCTAAAATGAGATAGTTCGGTATTAGAAAGTCTATTTACTAGTCACCAACAAACAGGCGAGAAAATACACTAGGTACCTACCACCTCGACTTTTGTAGGAAATGGATATGAATTTTTTTCGTTTTCAGTAGCAAGGTATGTTAAACCAATAAAAATAAGTACATTTAGATTAAATATAGATTAATGATATCTGATAAAGAGTGAATTTTAATATTCCAATTCATTTTAATGTGTTTATTACATATAACCAACATGACATTTGATTAAGTTGGGTTGATAGTGAGTCCCTTATATAAGATACCAGTGGGCTCCCTACATACCTGGTTACATGAAAATCCCGGACATTTTTTCTGACCAACAGAACATAAGATTTTCCAAACAGCATGCATCTGTCTGCATGCTAAAACGTGGTAGAGACATGATGCAGCTATATTACTGGTATAGTTGTAGCACGAATGGGTCGGCTCGACCGGGGCAGGACCACGCTCTCACAGAATACCAGCGTAAAATAGCAGCTTAACGCTGCTGTGCTTCGTATGGTGAGTGTAGAGAACTGGAGACCCTTTTTATTGGAAACGAGGCATTTTAATTCGTAATGGAGGATAGATGTAGATGTCTATGGCCCACAGTAACCACTTACCATCAGGTGGACTGTGTGCTCGTTTGTCACCCTAATCCTATAAAAAAATGCAAAAGCAGAAGTGTATGATGTTCGGAAAAGCTTACGAAAAAACTAATGCAAACTGTGTTAATGGTTTCAGAGAAATGGCTTAGTTTTTACTCTTAATATAAATAAACGATGATTGTCACTCTAACATATAATTAAAGTCAATAAAAGTATATTAAATAATTGTATTTTTCATTTAAATGAGCTCAAAAGTGGAGTTGCCAACAACGAGATATATCTCAAATTGGAAATCCTAAGTATGTCATAATTAGGATACCTTCGTGCTTGCATAGTGAATTATTTTGTATTATTTTATTCTATCACATTTATTACAGAATCGGTAAGCACTATTGCTAAAATATTTATAGGTTTGAAGTATACATTAAATATAGGTAATTTATTATCACGTAAAATTACCTTCTCACCTGTGATATTTTACGAGAAATAAACAAAAATAAAAATGGTATCTCATATTTGACACTTTTACCCTACTAAACTTCACAATAAATTAAACTGATTTCAATCTTCGCCCCCACCCTCCACTCCTCCCGTGGCCATTTGTACTGTTAATCGGAAATTAAACAGTTAAAAACTAAACGCGATAAAATTAGTTTCATTTAATTATTTAAGCAACACGACATTGTCGATGTTTGTAAAAAAGTTAAACAACTAATGATTTCGGTAACGATATGCTTGTAGCAAAGTTAAATAAATTGTCGATATCGATAACGATATGTTAGAAGCAAAGTTAAAAGAAATCGTTATCGATATCGATAACGCGATGCTTGTAGCAAAGTTAAAGAAATCATTATCGATATCGATAACATTGTTTTTGGTTGTAATGAGCGCATGAGTAAAGATCCCAATCACTGTGTGGTAATGAGTGCGGTGTGTTTGCAGCGTAAGCGGGTGGGCGCGCGCACGCTGGCGGCGGCGGCGGCGCGGCGCGCGCGAGAGCAAGCGATCGCCGACGCCGACTCCGACGACTCCGACGCCGGCCGACGGACGCAGTCCCACCGCGCTCCGCCAACAAACCGCGCGCATCATGCTCAACATGAAGCTCAAGGATCGCCTGGCGCTCGCATTGAGCGCCTTCCTCGTCCTCTTCACGCTAATGCTCGTGGTCGACATACAAATGGACTATGGCATCTCCGGACATAGAGTACCGCTGCACGGGCGCGTGAAAATTGGTGACGATATCGATAAGGGCAGGTCCGCGTACATCGAATTTAGGAAACGATTCCTGCAAAAAAGGTGAGCAGTGGTGTTTTGATGGTTTATTAATTTTATAAGTGAGCTTTGTGGTCGCTTTGTGAATATGACTACGGATTTTAGAAACATTTCAGAGGTATGTATAAAATCAATGATATATATGTAGCAGTGTTGTTGATATATGTTTAAAGTTTAATGATCCAAAGTCTTGAAAATAAAATAAAATAATTAATTGGATCAGACGTTACTTTGCGGAATTCCATTATATTAAAGCTTTTAAAAAGTTGGAAAAAATTTATAGAAAACACAACAAATTAATAGTAGTAATTAGGAAGCTTGTATGATTTTTTTACTACGCTACGGTAACAAAAACAATTAAGTAATACTTGTTTTAGAATATATAAAGATTTAATTTGTAAACAATCGCTTTATACCTACGACTAATTAGAACAAACACGTAATAAAATTTAAAGCTAATCATCCACAAATTGACCAACTAATGACCTAATTTTAATTAATAAGTACATATTAATTCCAAAATAAAGTAACAAATACATCGTAAACACGTTACTAGATCTCAATAATTAAAAACAATTATTTGTATTTACATGTACCTACTTTGAATATTATATTTGTATTATTACCGTGCACAATAATTATCTTGTGACGTTATCAGTATGTTTACTGCTTTGACAGAGTCTTTATAGATAAAGGAATGTTCTCTCGTAGAGCTCGTAAATATAAAAAAATATAGTGTTTATTTATAGAACAATGATCTATTATTAAAATAAACATTTACATAATAATATTTCACTTTAAAAATACTTTCGAGTGGTAATTGAAATATACTCAGCATTTTAAAAAAAAAAAAACACTATCATTCATACTTCTCTTATGTAGGTACATACATTAATGGTTAAAAATAGTTGTAACACCTAATTATGCTATCACGTAATTATGTCACTGAATTGTAACGAAGTGCGTATTAAATAATAAATTAAATAGCTTTCTTTGACCACTCATGTAGAAGTTACCTATACATTCCTCGTAGAAACATCAAATAACTATTAACCATAGTATTTTATTTTTTATTTTTAAATGTAATATGAGTAATGACTGTAATACGTTCACAGAACTTTCTGGAATGTTTTATGAATGTATCGTGATGCCTGTGTCAGAGATTCCATCACATTTAGACCATCCTGTCGATTGCGTGTCTTAAAAAGATGACTGTATGGGAAAAGAACACCAGAAAAATATCATTACATAAGGTGTAAGTGACTATTTTATGGGCTTATGATTACATTAATAGTTTTTGACGGCTCCGTGGCGCAGGGGCTTTGCAACGAGTTGCTACACTGAGAGCCGCGGGTTGAAATCACGCACGGAACAAGTATTTGTATCGCCCACAAATAATTGTTCCGGGTCTGGATGTTTGTCCTTGTGCAATTTGTGTTTGCAAACTGCTGTTTGTTATTCATCGAAAGCGTTAAAGAAATACTTTTAAAAAAGTTTAAATCATGAATATACTCATAGTTTCAAACCAATATCATCTACTCATAATTCATCAATCAACCGCGTAGAGCCCGAGAAAAAAATCTACTACCCCATATTCCTCGTAAGAGGCGACAGAGGGAAACTGAAACAGGGGATTTGCATCAGCAACTTCCCCATAATAGTCAATCTAAACATCCAAGCGTGGCATATTGCCAGAATCCCCTATGATGCAATAAGGGAAATGTTTAGCAGTGGACTTTTATAGGCTGTAATGGAGGAATAGTCATACATTATCGTAGGAATTATACCTTAAACACATTTTTTTATTGTTAATATGCTAACACAACATATGTAAATATATTATTGAAAGCCAAAAAAACTCTTTCTGGGGCATTCATAACATTGTAAACAGGTACTCAACACGATAACATTGACTAATTTGAACCTTTCAAACTTATCAGCAGTGGGTCCAATCTATTATTATCACAGACTATCTCACAAAGCATTATTTTATCTCACTGCATACCTAAATATGACAGCTATAAATTTTTTGTTGCTCACTGTATGAAATACATTTAATACTCGTAACATCAGTGTAGGCAGTTTGTAGATTAGCGTAACGTCGCGGATTCGTAGCAGAGCCAAAGCCAAAATTGGTAGTTTTCTACTCTGGTTGAGTTCTAGCGATACACATTAAAATTAAAGTTGGGTTAGTTAGGACGAATGTGCGTGTGGGTTGGTACGAGAGGATTTTGTTTATAAAAAAAAACGGTACCCCCACACTAGGATTTTTCCCTTTTTTTTTTTAGAAACATACATTGCACAAGGACAAACATCTAGACCCGCAACAATTATTTGTAGGCCATACAAAGACTTGTTCCGTGCGGGATTCGAACCCGCGGCCCCCAGCGCAACAACTCATTGCTAAGCCACTGCGCCACGGAGCCGTCAATTACGGATTTATGTTAGCAAATACACTATAATATCGCTTACAGCACGGTAACGTGCTTTGTTAGACATCATCACATCCCTTTAAGTCTCATAGCAAAAACACTATACTTAATATCTGTTACAGCACGGTAACGTGCGTTGTTAGACATCACATCTCTTTAATCTAGAACTATTAAAAATAGTGATTATATATTATTTGAGAACAGTCTATTAATCAATAAAAGTCTGAACTTTAGGAATACATTGTTGATCTATTCCGTTTTATAGTCCATCTCTTCTTCACACTATCTCTATAATTACAGCCCATCTCACAAGTACACAGATATCAGAGGTTATCCCTGAGAATTAGATTATTACACATGGATTATGTTCTAGTCTCTGGCCCGAGCCTACCCAGTGCCAGCTCCTTCCATTTGTCTGGATCCAGCGCTGCTAAAGATGCAGGGACGCAATTTTCCACGGCGAGATACAGATATAATTCATGCTGTCTCTTTGTATCAACTTTGTAAATTCACCATTATAATCATCACCACCACTACTATTATCATCATCATCAGTCTGCGGTAATCAACTCCTGGAGATAGGCCTCCCAAAGGCGCGTCAATTAGTCTGATCTTCGTCAATTCGACGATCATTTATTATTTCATTATTTTACTATTAAACTACGTTATTTTACTATTAATTACGCAGCATGTAAGTACCTAACTTACATGCTGCGGTTTAGATAGCTTCTATCATTAGTCACTTTCTTCAAGTGGTTTAATTGTTGTTTTTAATAAAGTGACATAATGCGTGCGATGGAAGGATTTTTGTCTAGGCGTTTAGGTTACTTTATTGTATGTTGCCGTTTGTTGAAGTACATGCGGTGTGAGTTTGATATTTAGTGAGTGAAATATATTTGATAATCCTTGGCGTCGACATATCGAATAGTCTGCAGTTTCGTAGTCACTTGGAAGGGAAGGCCAAATTGGCCTCTAAAAGCTTGGCGTGCTCAGCAGAGCGAGACAGTATTTCATGCCGGCACATCGCTTGCAACTTTACAAAGCGCAAGTTCGGCCCCACATGGAATACTGTTCTCATCTCTGGGCCGGGGCACCCCAGTGCCAGCTCCTTCCACTTGACCGCATCCGGCGCAGAGCGGTTCGAATCGTCGACGACCGAGTTTTTTCTGATCGGCTCGATACACTGGCACTGCGTAGAGATGTTGCATCTCTTTGCGTATTTTATCGCATCTATCACGGGGAGTGCTCTGAGGAATTGTTCGGACTAACTCCAGCCGTTCAATTTCACCATCGCACATCGCGACAAAACTCGCGTTACCATCCATACCATCTGGATGATTGGCGGTCCACCACTGTGCGATTTAGAAGAAGTTTTCTCCCTCGCACAACTTCCTTGTGTAATCAATTACCACCAGCGAATTTTCCGGACCGATACGACTTAGGAACCTTCAAGAAAAGAGCTTACACCTTTCTAAAAGGCCGGCAATGCATCTGCAGTTCCCCTGGTGTTGCGGTTGTTCATGGGCGGCGGTAGTCACTTACCATCAGGTGAGCCGCATGCTCGTTTGCCTCCTCTCCTATAAAAAAAACTATGTATTTTAAAATTAGTAATTTAGAAAATCCAGAGACTTAAACGAAACAAATCATTCAAAAAGTTTTGATTCGCCGAAAACGAAAATATAACTATTGGTAAATCCAATTCTGCATACCTTAAGCGTATTAAAAAATTACTTATAACATGATTATACGTAAATTTTTAAAGTAGTTTAATTACACACAAGTTTTCAGAATCGCAAAAATTCTAAGTATAGTAATAGTTATAAGGTTTTTACCTTATAACATTTACATTCCATGGCTTCCCTCATGGGTAGATGAAGAGATTAAATAATAGATGAGTTAAACAAATGATATTTTCAAAAATTATCGTGTTTAGTCCTCCATACGTATGATAAATCTTGCTTAATAAATCTCGACTTGATAAATCTACGCCTTATGCCACTAAAGCCATTTTTTATGTAAAAATAGAGCAATTAATCAATTTAAAACAAAATTAATATTTTTTAATTAAAATTATTTATCTTTCTGACAATGTGCTTTTTATATCATTTCTATGTTCAATATGACTGTTAGATACGATTTTATGCGACAAAACGTTGGAATCTTGATTTTTAGGCACTAGTAGAACATACCTACGCGCTTTGCGCACACAGCCGATACAAATGTAGGTTTTCCGCTGTTTGGATGAAAAATTATTCGTTCGTGAGATTAGTCTCAAATAATAGTTATAAAGCACATTGCGCATTGTGTCGAAAACACTTTAGTATATCTCATTTTGGTCAACTAATAGTGGCTAAAAAACCTGTTGTAACCATTGTAGCTGTCTTAATTTGAAAATCAAATTATTTTTATCTTTCGTCCCGAAATTTAACACACTGGGCTATACTAGATGTAGATGTCTATGGGTCATAGCATTCACTTATCATCCTTGGACTGTGTGCTCGTTTGTCACCCTTATTTTATAAAAAACCTCAGGTAGAATTGTTAATGATAGTAAGAGTTTTAATTAAAGTAAAATTAAATAAATAAATAATT